ATGTCAAATAAACTAAATTTCATTTTTAATATGTATATTTTTTTGTTTGTAAAAATATAATATTTTTAAATAACTTAAAAAAAAAAAAGATGCGACCCACTCAAAATCGGGACCAGCCGGGTACCCGGAACCAAACCAGAACCCATTATACCCAGGAGCGGAACTGGGACCGGACTTTGACCAGGCCCATGCATTAGACTCTTCACGAATCATTTGGCAAAGTGAACTTCTCATAGAATACTTGGTAAATGTTATGTAGGGTATGTTTGGTAGAATTGTAGAATCAGTTGAACGATACTTTTGTGAGATATTTTATTATTTTGTTATCTTTTAGTAACAAAAGGCAAGTGTTTGATTTACTTGTGTTACGTGTTGTAACTAACTAATACCAAAATCTACATAGAACTACAAGATTTTAGAAATTTTTGGAATAGTACGAAAGCTAAAAGCTATGAACTTATGTCTACCAAACAAGCGCATGCGCATGAGATTCAATATTATTCTAAATTGTGTTTGTAATAATATGAAGCTAGTTATTACTATCAATGTTACAAAATGACTTGATTTTTTAAGAACCAGAAGTTACCAATAAAAGGATTAGGACAACAATTAATAACAATCCATGTCAAGGGTGAAATCTTATTTGGAACAAACATGAACAAGAATACATCATGTTCTCAGTAAACACACAAATAGTTCCTTCTTTTTTCTTCTTATGGCAGATGAACAAATGCTCCACTCTGGAACAACCACAACCTTTACCAGTATCAGCTCACTGCCACAGAATTGAGGCACATTGATCAGTTTGGCATAAGCTTTAGTCGTAACAGAAATAAATAAAAATTACTTTTCATTTCATTGCTTGCCTACCCATAAATTAAAGGAGGAAAAAACAATGTTTACTGATACAGAACACAAATGTGTAGTCGTGATATACTTTCAGGAACTGTTATACTCTTAACAGCTTTATTATGCAGTAGCAAGAAATGAAATCTAGTACCAATCTAGTGGTACTGCTACCCCATAGGTGAATAGGGACTCAGCACTAAGGGGTGTTAACGAACCGAGCGGAGCCCGGACATCTTGAACTCAAGTTCAGCTTGATTCAGTATTAGTGGTGTTTGGATTTGAGTTTGAACTTTGAAGTTAGACTAACTTTTATACATGAGGCCCGAGTTCGGCACAATAGATGTTTGATGTTTAATTTGAATGATCCAGAATATGCTCTAATATAGGAGTTTAGCTTTTGCTCATTAAATGGTCACACTCGAATTATTCTCAGGTGCTTGATTCATCAATAATAAATTTTAATGTTAGAAAACTACACCAAAGAACTTTAGAGTTTAACATATACTCCCTCTGTTCTTAATTAATAGTCTCCTTAGGTTTTTTGTGGTTTTTAAGAACATAGTAGGGGTAGTATAGAAGGTGAAGGGTAAATGAAAAAGTAGGAAAGAAAGTATATTAAGAAGAGTGAAGTAATAATAAAGTAGGAAAGAGAAAGTAGTATGTAAAAAGTAAAAAGGGGTAATGGTAATAAAAGTGGAGGTATAAACTATAAAGGTAATTTGATTGAAAAAACTTATTAAAAATGAAAGAGGGACAAACAATTAAAAACTTTTTAAAAAGGAATACGAGTCAGTTATTAGAGAACGGAGGGAGTAATTTGTTCACACATAAACTATATAGGTGCCTGATAGGCTTGAAAAATTATCGAACATAATACTATGCTCGAGCTTGGCTCGAATAAATCTTCTAACATAAAATCAAGCTTGGATTCAAACTCGAAACTCAATAGGCTCAGTTCTTAAGTTCAAATCAAGCTCAAAATCAAATAGTTCAAAAACCTCGGTTTGTTAACACCCTTACTTGGCACCCCCATCCAAAACACAACCCCCCCACATGCATGCGCATATAATCCTTAAAAAACAAATATATGCTACAAGAGTAAAACAACTTATGCATTATACGAGCTGATCCACATTGGATGCTCAACTGACTTCAAAATAACACTATTCTGAACTCTTAAGATCCTAAACTTCACTATATTTGTTTCCCTTATTCACGCCCTCTGAGGATACCAAAACTACAAGTTTTCAAGAAATTGTCGCCGATGATATATTGTATTATTTGGGTAGAGTTTGGTTATGGTCTTATGGAGGAGGGGGGTCTGTTAACAGTGGTCTGGTTTTGGAGGGGGGAGGGAAGAAAAGTGCAGAGAAAAACTAATCCACGAATTTCAGAAATTTTAAACAAATAAGGAGAGAGAGTTTAATTTCTATAGCCTCGACTCTCTTCTAGGTTCGAACCAAAACTCCCTTTTGCAATTTTGAAAAAAGACGTGAGCATTCATCACGAGAACATGTGTGCAAATTTATCGTAGAGCCCAAATTAACTAAAGGGAAGCGGGTAACCAACCAACTAGGCATTGACAAGATTATTTGGGTTATGTAGAAATTAAACTGGATGATAGCCCGACTACAGAAAACCAAAGGTCAGCTCACCAATCACTAAGATGTGCAACCACTAACCACATAAGTTGTTGCTGATGAAAGTAGATGTTTCTGAACCCAACAACCAAACAAAACAAAACAAAACAAAACAGAAACCTCTATCCCCAAAAACATGAAGATGAGAGATTCCTTCTCCTTGAGATTCATTTACTTTTGCAACTATATAAAATTATAAATATATCAACCCTTAGGCCTTAAACACACCAGAAATCTATCCACTAAAGGAAACATCTTTATGAAGTGAAGAACATTAGCAAATGATAATTTTATCATACAAAACAGTCTGGTGAATAACATAATTACGTCAAACTATTATACACATGCTCCATAGTCATTCACTAGGCTACAATTTTCAGTACCCCCGAATCATTCAGATGAATATTATTAAAGATAGAAACCAAATGTCTAGGCTAAGTTTTTTCAAGTATGGTATAAAACCACATAACTGTTGGAACAAGAAGGCGTTTGAACAAAAAATGATTGTATTCTAATTTCTAAAGCCAAGAGCTAAGATTTAAAAAAAATCCCTAACCATCCAAACTGAGCTTTTTCACTGTTTAAGTGAATGCTAAAGTGGAATTTCAGGAAAAGGGACAAATGGCTACACAAGATTCAAACATATTTCGAGTTATTAATCTTGGATGTGGTATATCAAGCAGATTAACTAATTCGCTAGAACGGAATTGCTAGGCGCCAGCAAAATCAGCCAAGCGAATAAACTGCGCAGTGGAGGCTTCTAAAAACATTATAGTGAACTAGAGAAGAGATAGGTAAAGAGAATTGAACAGAGGGCAGACCTCCCCACGGATGGAAAGAGCGGAGACTAGGAGGCATTGGCAGTGCTGGCGGCAAGGGGAATGGGCTGATGGTTGACACCTTGTTTGAGGCGGGAGGACTCCTCCTGCTGGCGGATCTTCTGCATCTGAAGCATCCGCTCCATTACGAGCTCGTATTCGCACTTTTCGTAGGAGTGGCGCTCGTTCTCGCACTTCCATGGCAAGTAAAGCTCGGCCTGGCGGCACTTGTTAAGGGGAATCAGAAGGTGAGCGCACTGGTCCCGGTATGCCAGAGGAACCCTCGCCTCCACCATCTCTTCCTGCGTAGCTATCATCTTCTTCGACGATCCTGGCACCTCCATCTCTCTCGACCGATTACGCTACTGGTTAGGAAAAAAGAGACGATAACACAAACACGCAGCATAGGTAAAAGCAGAAACAATTTTAAACAGTGAAATTCCCGATTTCCTCAACAACAAAAACAGTGAAATTCCCAAATTTATTTATAATAAAAAAAATATAAAAAACAAAAAACACGAAAATAAATATTTAATGCAATTAATAAAAATATAAAATTAGGAAAATAAAAAATTATTACATTATCAACATCTAAATAATATAAAGAATATGAAAGTCTTTCCGGCAACTCCTACCACCTCCTAGCACCACCAACTACACTCATCAGAAAAATGCCTAAACATGTGCCAATCATTAGAGAAAATTTTGACATTTTGAAAAAGAAAATTGTCTTTTACATGGAATTCAAAGAAAAAATTGCAGTTTTTACACGAAATGACATTATTAATATTCTTTTATATGTTTAATCTATTATTAATCATACGAGATAGGTCCAATCCCCTTGCGGGTAAATGAATATAGAAGGCTTGTCCGCTTGTGAAGCTTCCGTGCCCATGCAACACAAGTCGCACAACTAGGTCGCACGACACATGATCCTTGAGCGGAAATTGCCTAGACCGCTATGAATGAGTTCTTGGACGACTGGTCTAGAAGAATTGACAGGAAACCAAAGATTTAACGAGGAAACACATTTAATGCATCAAAAATAGAAGATTTTATTGTTGAGGGCCAGTCACCCGGAGCTTGCTGCACCACCACCATCATCTACCACCTTGATAGTATAAATAATGACATTTATTTCATTGTAAGTAGTTGGAAACCTGTATTCATTACCATTAGCTTCTCTCTCAACCTCTTCTATATTCTCCCACTTAAAATAGTGGATTTAGTCTCAAACTCTATAAAAGTGTGTTGTAATCATTTCAAAGTCTCTAATAGAATTTGACCCATTCTACCTTCATATTGTTTCTTGCTATTGTATTGTCTCATTATTACTTCGATAGCTCACTGTAACATAATTGATTCACTATCAAACAAAAATTCAAAAGAAAATGTTGGACCTTTCAATCCAAAAAAATAAACCTCAACATACACACACAATCAAATAAGGTAGACCTAAGATGCATGATCTTAGGCTTCTTTTCTGTTTTGGCCATTTAATATGTTTGATGATCCAATTTCTTGTACTAATTAGTATTAATTATTGATATTAATCGTTAGATTAAAAATTTGTAGGAAAAATAGACTTCCAAACTCACTCACTCACTCATCACTTTCAATATTAATCTAACTGTTAAGATTAATTCACTATTAAAATTTTATTTGTTTTATAATATTTAATATCTAACATGAACTCATGGTTAGAACTAATCCTTGAGATCAACGAATTATTCTTCAGATAGATTTCATTTCTGTGTGGATCGCGGCTCTAGGCAAGGTAACCCATCTTCTGTCCGTATCTCTCACTAGGACTAGCTGCTCTTCTGCAATGGCACTCAATCTTCGTCAGAAGCAAACTGGTAATTCACTTTAATTTTATCCGCCCCCTTCTAGATCTCTTTCAATGTCGATGTCTAAATTCGGTGCTGAATCTGACTGAGCATTGTGTTTCTTATGGGATGGTAGAGTGCATAACGAGGGTGTTGAATCTAAATCAGCCGGTTAGTGCTAGCGGGACGGCGAACGAGGAGGTGTATAAGATCCTCATCTTCGACCGCTTTTGTCAGGACATATTGTCGCCGCTCATCCACGTGAAGGACCTCCGCAAGCATGGCGTCACCCTCTACTTCCTCATCGACAAGGATCGCAAACCCGTCCATGACGTTCCTGCTGTCTACTTTGTCCAGCCTACTCACTCCAATGTCCAACGCATCGTCGCCGACGCCTCCAAGTCTCTCTATGACTCCTTCCATCTCAATTTCTCTTCCTCCATTCCTAGGCCCCTACTGGAGGATCTCGCCTCAGGTACACACACACATAATGACACAATCCATGCAGACCTTCCCGATGCCTTTCCTGTTTCTCAAGCTGTTACATAGGTTTTTGAATTGGGGAATTCGTTTTGCCGAGTGCTCTTTAAATGTGAAATATCTGCTGTATATTTGGTCACAAGGGGAACAAAACAACAAATTATTTCTACCCTTCTCAAAATCAAATACCTGTACTCCGTATAAAATTGTTTCTGAAATAGCAAACTAGTGCTATATCACATTATCACAAGGTTTGAGAAATAACTCACCCACACTCTAGTAGTGTATACTCCTATTTTCTAAGCAACCAATCAATCCAGTAGGTTAAGTAGTAATACTCCACATATATGGGTTGGATTAGGATTTAGGAGTCTTGAACTAACTGACTAGCCATTCTCACAAAAGTAATCCTTTTGGATTTAAGTTATATATGAAGTAAATATAAATACTTGTGCAAACACAGAATGATAAAAAACATCAAGGAACAACTACCGCACAGGCCTACCTTGTGCCCCTCTTATCTGTGTATGAATCATATGTAATATGTTCTGTTTTCAATCCTGATTGTGGATTGTGTATCGATCTTCTAATCTTCAGGAACTATTAGTTCAGATTCGATTCAGAGGATAACAAAGGTGCATGATCAGTACTTGGAGTTTGTGATCCTTGAAGACAATTTGTTTTCACTCGCCAACAAGAATTGCTATGTTCAGTTGAATGACCCCTCAGCCAGTGATAAAGAAATAGAGGAGATCATTGAAAAGATTGTGAGTGGGCTGTTCTGCGTTTTAGCTACACTTGCTGTGGTACCAATCATCAGGTGCCCCCGTGGTGGGCCTGCTGAGATGGTGGCCTCCTTGTTGGACCAGAGACTGCGGGACCACTTATTGGTGAAAAACAACCTTTTTTCAGAAGGCGGGAATTTTTCCAGCTCTTTCCAGAGACCTGTTTTGTGTTTGTTTGATAGGAATTTTGAGTTGTCTGTTGCTATTCAGCATGACTTTAGGTACAGACCCCTCGTTCATGATGTTCTTGGGCTGAGATTGAATAGGGTGACTGTGCAAGGGGAGAAGGGTGGGGGGATGAAGTCCTTTGAGCTTGACAGATCTGATCCTTTCTGGATGGAAAATGGGTCCCTAATATTCCCAGATGTGGCTTTGGAGATTGAGAACCAGTTGAGCAAGTATAAAAAGGACGTTGAGGCGGTGAACAGGCGAACGGGAGGGAATGAGGCTGAGTTTGATGGGACGGATTTGATTGGAAACACAAAGCATTTGATGAATGCTGTTAATTCACTGCCTGAGCTGACCGAAAGAAAGCAAGTGATAGACAAGCACACTAATATTGCGACCATGCTTTTGAATGAAATCAAGGAGAGGTCCCTAGACACATACACAAAAAAAGAGGATGATATGATGGTGAGAGGCGGGGGAGTTGACCGCAATGAGATCCTTGGGGTGCTAAAAGGGAAAGGGACAAAACTGGATAAGCTCCGGTTTGCCATCATCTACATCATCTCAAGTGAGAACATCCCTCATTCAGAGATTGAAATGATTGAAGCCACACTAAGAGAGTGCGAGGTCGATACCAGCGCGTTCCAGTACGTGAAAAAAATAAAATCATTAAATGTTTCTTTAGCTTCTGCAAATTCAGCAGCCAGCAGAAACAACATTGTTGACTGGGCAGAAAAGCTGTACGGGCAGTCAATCAGTGCTGTGACCGCTGGTGTGAAAAACCTCTTAGCTGGTGATCACCAGCTAGCTTTGTCCAGAATTGTGGAAGCCCTGATGGAGGGGGGGAAGCCAAACCCTGAAACTGATCCTTATCTTATATTTGATCCCCGTGCACCTTCAGGTGGCAGTGGGGTTGAGGGACATCTGAAAGGAGGGGGGCCGTTCAAGGAAGCCATAGTTTTTATGATTGGAGGTGGGAACTACGTGGAGTATGGCAGCTTGCAGGGTCTTGCACGCCGGCAACGACAGCAGCAACAGCAGCCAGTCAAGCATATAATATACGGCACCACAGAGATTCTTACAGGAGGTGAGTTCGTGGAGCAGCTTGCTTTGCTGGGTAAGAAGATGGGATTAGGAGGAAGCAGTAGTGTACCCGCTCCGGTCCATTAATGTACATGTATGGTAAGTGTGTATGTCTTGCATTGCATTTATAAACCACCTGTGGAAACATTGTACTCAATTTGTAGAGAGAGAACAAAGAGAGGATATTAAATGATATCTATGTCATATATTTAAGAGAAAGGGGTCAAATAAAGCCTTCTACTATTATGAAATCATCACACAAGGCCATGTACTCAATAAAGTGTCATATAAATACGTCTACTTATAAAAAACAATCGAATGAGTCCTAATGACCCGTTGACAACCTCTTAATCCTGATTTTAGCCTACGTGTCAAATTTTTTTACTTGTATTTCAACTAATCTTAGATAATATTCGACGTGTGCTGTATAATCTATTATAAATAGATGGTTTCAAGAACACTAAAATCGGGATTAGGGGGTTGTAAATAGGTCGTTAGGACTTGTTTGATTGTTTTTTACTAGTAGACGCACTTATATGACACTTTATTGAGTGCATGGCCTTATGTGACGATTTCATAATAGTAGAAGACCTTATTTGACCCTTTTCTCTATATTTAATAATATAGTCTTATTCCAAGTGTAGTGAACATTCAGTGTACCATTACTTATTTTACCTTTTAACGTAGATAACAAAAAATCAAGCTTCATATCATTGCCATGATGCAGATCTATGTTCCATTTATCTGAAGGTTTGAATTTTGGTAGTGTAACTGTGTGATTATATAAATTTTAGTCGATCCCAAAGTCTTTTGGGATAAAGGCTTGGATAGTTGGATGTTATTGTAATTGTGTAATTATATAAATATTATATGGAAAGCAAGGTGATGACTTAATACACTGAATGTCATCACAAAATGAATTGAATTGAGGCTGGAAGGAGGAACTTTGAGAAGAGGGATTGTAAACCAGCAAAGAAAGTCAATACTAAGAGTAAGCAAAATATCATATAAGAGTGAGGAAAATTTTAGTAAAACTGGAGACACGCTCAAGTTTGCATCGTAGTGGATTTTATTAATGGCCGATTTCTCGATTAACCAAAAGTTTGTTAACTAAGACCTGAATAATCGAGTAATCGGCCACCCCCAGCCCAAGATATAGTGGATTTGCTGTTTAATGGCTGTATTGGTGTAGATTTTGGGATCAAAATAGGAGCCTTTATCCTTATTCAGCCACTTAAAGTTCAGTCTGGAGCTCGGGAAAAGCTAGGGAAATGAAGTAGTCTGGAATTTTGCAAGAAATAGAGATATAAGGGCATTTTCTCACACTGAATGAACCTATAAGTTCATACTCATTTTATTTATATATTTCTACTCCTTCCGTCCCATAAATAAGTTTGGCTTGTATATTTTCTCTGGTAAACCAAACACAGAAACTATTTTCCTATTGACTTTTCCCCTCACTACCTACAAATTAATGTGTTCCAAACACAGTGTAACTTGATTGACTGTACACCAAAGCAAGTTTTCGACAATGTGTGAATGAGTTTTCAGTCAGTGTTTGGCACCGTCCAGTACTAGAGGAGAGGGATGTTATAACATGACAATGATAATTGTGCAATTTAAGAAGCCAAATTGACGGTGAATAGATTTGCCCGAAGTTGCCCGAAGTTGGAGATGAATCTGATCAGAAGTTGCCCGAAGTGGACAATAGATTTGACGGTGAAGCTGCTGAATCAGTTGGGTGTGAATCAAGGTCATGACATGAGTATGTTATCATGTCTCGTTTAGAGTCATTTTGAACTTCTAATCTGCAACTTGTGCATACATCATGAAGGCTTCTTCTCATGGTGCTCTTTGTTACTGCAATGTACTTTAACTGTTTAACTATCTTTGTTACAATGTTACTGCAATGTACTGTAACTGTTTAACTATGGAAATGGCGCGTCTACATAAAAATATCATAGAGGATGTTCGACACTATTTTACCCTCTTGGTTCTATCATTCTTAAAATGGATAAAAATTTGGAGAAGAATAAAAACATGTAATGCTACGTATGTCTTTTGGCACGATAGTAATTGCCAAAAAATGAAAAGTTGAGCAAGTGATCTAGAGCCTGTTTGGTAGCACCAAAATCGGATGATTTTGGCTGATTCTGCTGAAATTTATGAAATTTTGGCTGAAGTGGTTGCATTGGTTGATTCTGCTGATTTAAGAAAAAATTATTTTTGAAATATATTTTATCAATAAAATAAAGAAAAAATTATATGTAAAAATAGCTAAAATGGTCATCTACAGTAACTTCAGTCAATACAACCAGAAAAGTAACTCCAATCTTTTTCAGCTTATTACACAATTCAGCACGCGAAAGCAAAAGTTGTGTGTTTGGTGAAAAAGGCGAAAAACGGTGCTGCCAACGGCCTCCTAATATTCATAGTTCGGAAGTAATTGATCTACTTTGTGCTGTACGTCAAGACCCTCAAATTGTTGCGTGAACACTTCACCTAATCATAAACTCAACCCCACTTGTCACGCCTACGCGGCTACACTCACGATGATGGTCACTGATGCATAGGCATGGAGCAGTTCCGGGCTGGGCTTTGGGCCAGGCCGGGCCCCGGGCCGGTCCAAACCGGGCCTTTTTTGGGCAGTGGAAGGCCCGGAACCGGCCCAAGATTCCACCGGGTCCGGTCCGGTTCAATTTTTTCTTTTCTTTTGCTTTTCTAATTAACCCCCCCCCCCCCAAACACCCAGCCCAACCCGGAGAAAAAATTGAAAAAACAAAAAAAAAAAAGCCCGAACCGGGCCCGGCCTGGCTAGACCGGTTCCTATTTTCCATGAACCGAGCCCGCTCTTAGTAACACCCAGTTCGGGTTGGCCCGAACCGGTCCAGGGCCTGGTTTCCGGGCCGGTTCCAAATAGTGCCGGGCCACGGGCCGGTCGGCCCGGAACCGGTCCATCCCTACCAATGCATCCATTTTAAGAATTAGGAACATGAGGACTGAATATAATATATATTTTTAATAGAAAAGGCCTATATTGATATACCAAAAACTTGCAAAACAATAGCGAGGCAAGCACCCCAAATTTGGTCTCAAACCCTAAGATTAGATGTAGAATTACACGTACTAGAGAATTCACAGTAATTCGCTATCCATTGAATGAGCAAGTTGTCTACAATGGCCCTATGGAAAGGCATGTCCCGCGGAATATCCAGTATCCACAACATGTGTCCAGGAAACATATAAAATATCTAACGAAATAAACATTAAAACTTGAGATAAAAACAAAGCAAAGTTGAAGTGTCTTCTTCCAAATCCTAGATGCTCAGCTCGTTCGTTCACTCCATGGCAGCAGTTCATGAGGGGGACGAATCAACACCATTTCATCTGCTTCCAATTTGTTGTTTGAAGCATCCACCAAAAGGCCTTTGTCTTCCTCCTCCATCAAGAAGAATACTATTGACCTCCTCTCATGAACCATGTCTCAATTCAAGATTCCTGTGAATTTGACCACCTCTCATGAACCATGTCTCAATTCAAGATTCCTGTGAATTTGACCACCTCTTGTTGTGTTGCCATATCGATCCTCGTGTATCCTTACTGCACAACTCGTAACCCTGCGACTGAATCCACAGGTCTAATTACCAATCGAGATAGTACCCTACCATAATAAACTCGCAATCTTGTGGTTCTATCAAGCAAAAGCCTCCCGTCGACCACAATAGCCGCTCCTTGGACGAAGACAATCGATGATATGCCAACCCTATGCGACCAAACATCGAAGATAGCCTCCCAACATCAAACCCTTTAAACATTGTCGATGGCGGCAACCCTAAATCCTAGGCGTTGTTAAGGCCAAATCACTTTTTCTCTGTAAATACTAGTGAAGACTGAATATTAGTAGATGCATAGTTCCTACTTCCTATGACAGATATCATAGGGAGAGAGCTATATACGTGGATTTATAAAAGATCCATTTAAGATGTTTCATCTTGATAGCCAAAAAGATCAACTAGAATCCTTTCTTCTCTTAGCAACAAAGTGACAAATTCAAACCGGACGATTTTCGCACGTGAAACATAATTTAAATGTATGATAAGAGTTTAATTACTACCAAAAATCAAATAAATGAGGAATGAATTGATTGCAGAATTGTAATTTATAACACCAATATGGAACATAGGGAGTAATTCAGTTATAAGAATAAAAAATTGAAGGCCATGGTATCGAAAATTGGCAATTGGTCCTATACGTTTCAAAATGCGAACTTTTCCTTGATTTTGCAACCTTCCTTTCTTGTTACATGAGATTTTTTTTTCCAGCCTAATTCTCCTGATAAACATCTGACCAAACCAAAGCCTGTTTGCAAACTCCTATTATAATTTGGAAATTGGAATCCCACTTAGAGAAAAACACGGGTCTCAAACTCTCAATGAACATTTTCAGCTATAGAATGGGATTGGAATTACAAACAGTGTATCACGAGTCACAACCTCCGTCTGTACAAATTCTGGTCAGCATAATGAATAAATAAAAGAAAGCTAAAGTACAAACTACTAACAAGTAACAAACAATAGTCAAATTGATAGATTCCTTCTAGTAGCTTCCATTTTCAATAACAGATCTTTGATGTCTGATTCCATCCTCATCTTCATGTTGAAATAGTCGTGATATGATCTTTCTAGTGTTTGGAGCTCATCCCACTTTTGTTTCCGCATTTCCTCCGCCTCAGCCAAACGCAGCTTTGTGATCCGGCAGCTGAATTCTTCTTCAACCCTTTCTCTCTTTGTAACGGCTATTCGTTTCAATGCTTCAGATTCTCTTCTCGCATCATCAGCCCGCAATTGAAACATTTGGGTCTCCGCCTGCTTGATTTTCACAATGCTATCCAGCTCATCAAAAACTGGCTCTTTTGGAATCATTTTACTCATGCTCAAATCTGAGTTCAAAGCCGCCTTCTCCCTCTGATGAGACTCATATTTAGACTGTAAATCTGCTAACTTATCCAACTGAGGGCGTTTGTCTGAAACATGACTTTTCGACCACGTATGTCTATAACTAGATTCAACTGTTCTATTATTCACCTCCCGGTTTGTAGTTTCTAACTCCTTTCTTGGGAGGGTAGGCACATTTACAGACCTTGTTGATTCTGTTTCTGCAATTCAAAGAAAATTATCCAAATGAAACTTAAACAAACAACTGGACAAGGATGTTAAGAAACAACCTGTAACACCCACGCAATCCGAACATAAGACATATATCTTACTCTGCAAGTGAGAACTTACCAAATATAGCGAGATAATGATAGACACTTCTTCATGCAATACAATTCACAATCAAAAACATTTTTCGAAAAATCATATTCCAAAATAATTTCCTCCTAAAAAACCTAGCGCTTTGATGCCAAATTGTGACACACCCAATCTGAAACAGAAGTTTTAGTTAGCCAACCTGATCCAACTCGAATCGGTTGGACATTAACGGATTTTGAAGACAAAACATAACTAATAATTTGATTTAACAAAGTAATAATAGAGTATGATTTATTTCATTTGAATTATTGAAATGCTCAAGTGACAAATAGGCAAGTTTAGCAATGGATAATATCCCAAAATGTAAATCAAACGTGACCACAAGTCAATGAATAGGATTCAAAATCAAAACATTAGATTAAACATGAATTTGACATGTAACTTTAGCATCATATAATATAAAAGTTAAAATATATTTATTAAGAAAATTTCAGATATAAACATAAAAATATACATGATAAATAGTGTGTGCTCAAGTCATATTTTGAGTCAAATATAACAAGTAGTATAAAGTGATATAAAATACTTACTTCCAATGGGCTATAAGAACGTAATTTCATATGATAAAATGATGAAACTTATTTTAAATAAGGTATTAAACATTTCAAATTGAAGTTGACATATAAGTAAGTGTTGCTACAATTCCTACTTTTAATCACACATTTAACTCAACTATTGAACATGGATTGATAGAAACCCCAAGATTCCAGAACAAATTCCAGAAAGAGAATAAGAAACCAAACTGATTTTATTAGAGAAGAAGATGAACAGTACAGTAATCCAAGGCCAAAGCCTCCCAAATGAGCCGAAGCCCCCAAAAGATAGAGAGAATTAGTCTCCGATCTTTCCCAGTCCCAAGACAGAATGTCAAAAAGCCTCCCTTCTATTCTCCCTCTACCCCTATTTATACTAACTCTCTAATATTCTTCTTATTCTCATTTATTAGTATTATGAGTAGGTCCCTAACAATACTCCCCCTTTGAAAACCACCTTGCCCTCAAGGTGGGTTATAGGGGATAGTCTTGATGAACCGCTTCTTCCTCATCTTTGCACCTCGTCCTTCCCAGTATTTTTCAAATTTCAGGATCCTGAACTTTATGACTTGAATCTTCCTTCTCACTGCTTCTAGCAAAAACAGCATTAGCTCCTCTTCCTTCCAAGCATCACTATTATTCATGTGTCTTTTTTGTTCATGCTGGTACTGATCTTCAGCCATCATCCATTGCTCATTCTTCCATTTGTTAACAGCTCTTGCTACAGGATATAACTCAAACCCCTGAGATTCAGTTGTTTTCACTCATTGAAAACTATCCCAATGGCTGTGTTTCTAAACTGAATACTAGTCCACTGGACACCCTTTACCATGTATATAATCCATCTTCTATACTGCTGGATGTTGCTGGGATTCTTTTGAGGTATATTACCACACACAATGCTTATACTATCACAAACTTTTCCCTTTTTAGCATCAAAAGTGGGACTGCCAGGCCACTTAAGTAGGTTCTGTTTGTGGAAGTAGCCATCATCAGATGAATATGTAGATGGGGCCTCTTCAGTGCTTCCTTTGAATGGGATTCGATAGGATGAACCCAGAACAACTTCCCATTTAGAACAGAATCTTCCTGATGGGATAACAACCACAACCATACCCCTCACACTATTTCTATCAGCTGATAGATTGGCTCTGTGGATCAGCTCTATATCATTCATACCTATTGCATCCAAATCATTTCTATGGAGAAATCCATTCCACCTGTTAGCTTCAGACAACTCATCATTAAGCCCAGCATTTTTAAGCTCATATTCCACAGCAGAAATAGAGGGATGAATTCTATTCCAATCAATGTACACCCATTCATTACTATGGCCTGATGTGCGTGTAAACTGTTTTCCAAACAGTCCATTACAGAAGGATTCCTGAAACCTCTTTGCTTCCCTGTCCTGATCTGCCCCTAACTTTATTAGCCCCAGAGAGGATATAGGAGCATTAACAATTCTTCCAAGTGGGCAGTGTTCCACTCCTATATTTCCAACCAGCTTTTCCATACTATTAGGTGCCACTGAGTATTCACCACCTAGAGAGATGTCCGGAACAACCTTGTTCTCCACTTTATAATTATCATCACCGTATTCATTGTCCATGGCAGTTGAGGCGTGAGTAACGACAGAAGATTTCACCTCTCTTCCTTCGTCACCATAGATGAGAGTATCTTCTGAGTGAAGTTGCTGTCCGCTAGCTAGCTCCATGCCGAGCGGTAGAAACTGTGGACTGTGAGAAGCAATTTGAAAAGACGCTGGTGTACTGGGAGAAGCCGATTGTGTCTCATCCTGAGAATTCAGAGCAACAGATAGAGAGGACGTCTGCGAACTGTGAGGATAGGCCAACGCAGAAGTCTGCGGTCTAGGATCTGGCGACGACTTATGATGAGTTGTTCGCGACTGAGAAGAAACCAAGGAATTGGAAGCTATTGTTCGAGATGAAGATGACGACTCTGTTCGCGATTTCGTTTGCGACTCCTGCGACGAGCGAGAGGAACGATGCGAAGAGATATGCGAAGAACGGTGCCAAGAACTATGCGAAGATTGGTGTGAAGTTCGTGATTGCGGACTCTGAGAAGAAACAGGTAACGATTCTGCCCGCGATAGCGGATAACGCTTACTGTTCCTCGTTCGGTCGCCAGTTTTTCTGCGATGCCTCCGCTCTTCGGATTCCTCTGGACTTGCTGACTTTTGCGTGTGATGATGAGAGTTGCGATGTGATGATTCTGACGCATGTGATCGATTTGGCGATCGTCTTTGAAGTTTGTTAATCATATCCGCGAAGTTAGCCTGCATATCTGCCATCATCGTTTTTAACCTAGTGTTTGTCTCCTTCATCATTCTGTCCATATTATCAAAACTTTTTTCCATCTGGGGTTTCATGTAGAAATCCTCCATGATTCAGATCTTCTTCTCCAGGAGGTAACAGGCTCTGATACCAATGATAGAAACCCCAAGATTCCAGAACAAATTCCAGAAAGAGAATAATAAATCAAACTGATTTTATTAGAGAAGAAGATGAACAGTACAGTAATCCAAGGCCAAAGCCTCCCAAATGAGCCGAAGCCCCCAAAAGATAGAGAGAATTAGTCTCCGATCTTTCCCAGTCCTAAGACAGAATGTCAAAAAGCCTCCCTTCTATTCTCCCTCTACCCCTATTTATACTAACTCTCTAATACTCTTCTTATTCTCATTTATTAGTATTATAAGTAGATCCCTAACATGGATTAAACATAAGATTTAAACATTATGTATAATGTATAAATAATTTATATTATCAATGAAATTTTGTAGATACATACATGAATACATACAAACTAAACAACAAAAGGTTTGACCGATATAAAATCGCGCAGATCTTGAAGTGGTTGACAGATGAAATATAATCATGAGGACATTCTACAAGCTCTAATATCTAATACAGACTCTCTAACAGGAATAACTCGTGAAAAGAGATTTGAGGAAAATGAAAAGAAACTAAAGAGATCCTAATTTATAAAGAAGTAAAGTGGTTATGGAATGGGAAAGGGTTGAAAATTCAACCTCCCTACATTATGCTCATAAAAAAATGAATTTTAGAAGGGAGAATGAGAGTAAAACTTGTCTTGGAAGTCTAGGGCTAAATCCAATAGAAACAAAAAGAAATGATGAAGAGAGAGGATATGAGTTCGAAACCTCTAATCTATTTACCGTTGAGCCAAGGGTATTTCTTGTTCATATAAGGTTACATAAATATATAATCAACTAATAGATAATAAAAGAGATTAATCCAAAGTTCAATATATTTTCAAATCAAATCTATTTCCACTAGACCGGTTTTTGGGGTGTTACACTATCAAAGAAACAATGTCATTGCTGCAACTCGGAGCGATATGGGAAATGTTACCATTTCAAATTTCTTATTTTTTTTTTGTTGAGTGGGGGTGGGCAACTGCAAATGTAACTACATTTGCCAACAGAAAGATTCAAAGAGAATGGCAGAGTTAGACCTGTCTGCAGTTTCCGGAACTGCTGGTTTTTTAGAGGGACAGACAAGCCAATTAAAATGGGACGAAGATAGGGGGCAGAGGAGTACTAATCTATTTTTAAAAACAAATAAACTTTAATATCTACAAAATATTGAGGCTAAAGGGTCAAATAAGCCCTCGAACTAATTTAAAAAGTGCAATTCACCCCTTATATAGGAGGCTATGTCCGGCTGTCGCCAATTGGGGCGGTTCCTGGTGGAATTATTTGATGAAATTTTTTGAGCATCTTCTTCATTAAGTCTAGTTTACCCATACCATATTTCAGATAAAAATCCAACCGAGAAGACAGTCATATGATTTGATTTTCTGAAATGTACTACGCTGTTACATTTGGTATAAGTAAACTAGATTTAATGAAGAAGATGCTAAAAAATATTCATAAAAAAATTCCACCGGGAACCGCCCCAATTGGCGACGGTTGGATAGAACCTCCTATATGAGGGGTGAATTGCACTTTTTAAGTTAGTTCGAGGGCCTATTAGAACCTTTAGCCAAATATTTAATATAAAGATAGGAACCAGAAAACAGAACTGGAACCGCCGGTTTTGGAACCGGTACCGTGCAGTTCCGGTTCCCCAAATTTGAAACCAGGAATCGGCGGTCCGGTTCTGAAGCGCGGTGACCCAACTCACCCCTAGGCAGAGTCACAACCAGTGTAAGGTACTTTTCAGAAAACATAATATTCCATTAACCTTTCTCTATCCATCTCCCTGCTCCAGCTTAATTCATGTAAAAACCAAAGGATTCTTTAAAATATCATGAAAACTCCAGAACCTTAACATAAAGTAATAGCAACCATACACCCTTCAAAATATTCTCAGAACGCTCAGACTCAGACCTCGGACCTACAATTTATAAAACTTCAAAATATCCCATTTCATTCTCAACAAACAACAATTGGTAACAGAATGAGGATAGTTAAATGAGTGACACTCACCAGAAAAGAAATGCATGATTTGGTCTTTAACTTCTTGAAGGCCAACCTTAACCGATAACTTAGTCAGCATCTGAATAGCAATCTCATGTAACCGCTTCCCTCTAACATCTTCACTGGCAAAGAAAATTCTCCTTACGTATTCAAGTTCCTTGGAGAGTGTTTCTCCAGTCCAGTCCTTGGCAAAGTTCATAAAAACTTCTTTGACAAAGCCAAACATCTCAGAAGGATGATCACATGCAACACAATGAAACTGCATCTCCACCATACCACCCTGGAGGGCCCCAGATGCACTTTGCCCGTTCCTGATAAAAGATTCACGGAGCCCACAATCCGCATGACACCAATGCAGACACACATCGCACCCAACCCAACTGCATGTGTTAGAAGCCATGTCAAACTTGGAACACACGAGACACATGCATGCACTGCAGAAACCTATTTTCTGTGAACAAATTTTACAGTCACAATCATCCACAGGAAGGAGACTTCGACACGTGGCATTTCTACACCTCAAGTTCAGATATATCTCCGCCAATTCAGATGAAGAGACGTCATAACTTTGCTGTAGAGATTCTTGAAGGCCAGTTTTCAGAGATACCAATATCTCCAATTGAGTCCGGTGAATATTCATTAGTGTTTCCAAGGTAGCATCTGTCCTTTTGTTAAGTGCTTTTCGAAGAGCAGTTAGTTGCCAATGCTTACCAGGATTAGAGATAATGTCATTGACATACTCTTTCAACGATACCAGATGCTGACCAGGCATTTCACTAAATCTCCTGGAAGTCACATGAAACGGTTCAGAGACCATTGTTGTTATAACTGATTCAATAAAGTCTAATCCCATTGTTAATGTTTGTTCTTTACCATCAGAATGATTGGATCTGTATAAAAAACTGTTATCTTTCTCCATTAAGATGTGCTTCTTCTTGTCTTTAGCATAATCTAGACCTCCAGTTTCATATGATCCAACATCCCGCCTATTAAAACTCATTTGATGATCTAGCACAGCAGATGTTTTAGACTTTCCTTCTACAACACTAGGGTGCTTGATCTCTACAGCTTGACCGGTTGAATTCCCTTGAGAAGATTGAGACTGTCGTTGAAAAGCAACACCATTTGATAAGACAGTTTGAGAAATTTGAAGTTCAGTGCTCTTCTGCTCGTTTAAAGCAAGGTTTTGCCAATCTACGCCTTGAAATAGGGGTCTGCTTTTAACAGATTGCTCATAATCAATTGAATTGTGTGTCAAAGAACAGCTGGGGTTGTGGGTGAACTGCTGTGATCCTGAGAAGGACATAGACATGGTGAACCCATCAGAGTTTGTGCGGAATGAACTATCATAGGATTGGAAGCTCCTAGCTTGAGTTGGAGAAGTAGGATGTTCTGCTGCATTTGCCCCGATGGGGAATAATACATTCGGCAAACTAAGAGAGAGATCAAGAGTTTCCACATCCAAAAGCTTCTCATTTTTGGCCTTGCAGGTGCCTAATTGATCTGTTTTATTGTTTTTTATTACAGGACCAAATGAAAACAAATCAAGACCTCTTGCACCAGGTGTTTCTATATCAAAGTTTGACTCACCTTCAAACACCAAAGCATTTTTCTTCAAATTTGTAACCATGAAGGGTGAAATGCTAACATTTTTACCCTTTTCCATGACAGCTTGGATTCCATTCTCCTGCGCAAGAGACAACACAGCTTCAGAGGGTCCAGCTACTTTGTTCAAACCCTCATCTACATTAGACAACTTGGTGTGTTCTGACATTGCTTCAAGATACATGACCTTCTCATCTGATTTTCTGGATGGTGGATATTGCTCAGAAACCATGACATGAACTTCTTGCTTAGAACAGCTGCTTTCCTCGTAATTCTTAATGACCTTGTCACATTCATCCATTTCTTTCACAGTCCTATCATCTCTATTTTCACTATTCCCCAAAGAACCATTATGTCCATCGGGTAAATCAGTATCTTCATTCACATCACGAGCATTTTCTGACTGTCTCTCTTCAAATTCAACCTTTTCAGCAGGTAATATATTTTTATCATCCTCTAATTCTTTAATGTTCATCTGATCGTCATTATCAAGCTCCTTCATGAATGAATCCAGCCCAAGAGGTGCCTTATTTTCAATTGCAGTCTCTGTAGGGGATAATGGATAAGGATCAGGTTGCAGTTCTCCCTCTTCCATTTCACCTTGTTTACATTCACAGGATGCAAACTGTGTAAACTGAAAACACAAAAACATCACACAAGCTAAATATCTGTCCTCGGGAACTAAAGATAATATTTTAAAAATAATTTAAAAAAATATCAAACGAATATATGAAGCTATACGCTTACGTCAGTATGTGACTGCAGTATAAAAAGGAAGACAGGGGATGACTTTTGATGAATAATTTGTTTTAGCTTTTACTGTGTGTTTAATTATATATGAATATGCATACATAATTAATATACATATACATTTTTTACGCATCAGACTTACGCCTCATTCCGCAATGAGGCTTACGGAATATGCAATTGTAAAAATTCACCATGACTACGCACTTTCGAACCTTGCACTTATGTGAGCATGAGATTATACAATAGTAACTTTTAGTCATATTTTGTAAATAAGTTTTATTTCAGTAATATGTTTGAAAAACCCTCTTAAGGTAACCAATAACAGCCTGTGAAGAGTAAACTGCCAAGTTTACCCTGTTAAGTAAGCACTAGAAACGTTCAATTATAATTCAACCTTGTAAAAGTGAAGGATTAAAAAAACATTAAAACGCCCCTTAAGTTTGTTAAAATCAGCACCCAGCATGCTCTGATTTACTAAATAGCCCAAAAATATGTGATCTTCTCCTATTGTTCACTTAATTCTTGCTAAATTACGAAGAAGAAAACCGCACACTAGCATGCTCTAGTTTCTATGACATGGACCTAAATAGAAAAAGAAGCAGATTAGGAAAATACAAATTGGCATCATTTTAACAGCAACTCAAAAGAGTAAGTCAGATTAATACAAAGATACAATAATAATATCCTAAACCCAAAGCAACCCTAATTTTTCGATTGGCTTATTCGAGAAAAGGATGAAGCTTCGTTTTTTTATAGGCCAGATTGATCCTTCAAGCCAAATAATTATAAGGGTTATTAGGAACATTAAATAAACTTTAGAAACCCCAAAAGGACATGTAAACAAATGTACCTCTTTTCTCAGACGAGGATCAGGAACCAGAGGAGTAATCCATTAACTGGGTCGTCTCTAAAGCTGAGAAGATTTAGGGATTCAGAGACGAAGACTTGTGAAGAAGAAAAGGGTACAGATCTGCTTACAGAGAAGAAGTCTTGACTTTTTTGTCAAAACGTTCCCAACCCAGTCAACCCACAGCTGTGCCCACTTTTTTTCTTCGCGTGGTTGCTTATACGGAGTAACAAATTCTAAAAAAGGTAAATGGTGCATAAAATAATAAAATATTACTCTCATTTATCTCTAACGGGAATTTTATGGAGCCATTCAACTCCACAATGGAATCACATACCCTATATATCTTGGATTCTTCTTGTTGTATCTACTATTGTACCCACTTTTGTACCCACCATGTCTTCATAGACATATTTTTGTCTATGACCGGGATTCACAGACAAAAAGAAAACTCCTCACAGACATGGTGGGTACAAAAATGAGTACAATAGTGGGTACAAACAGATTTTTCCATATATCTTTACGGTGGTCTCGATGAAATTTTTAATTTATTCCTAGGAGAAAGCAGCTTGATATGGGTCAGGATGTTTCCGGCTTATTTTAGATCAAAAAGGAGAAATAAATAGAATACATCAGACCATATTTTAATGTTTCCGACTTATTTTAGATCAAAAAGGAGAAATAAATAGAATACATCAGACCAAATTTTAACAAATATCAGATCAGATCGTGTCATATTTTAACAGATCAAATCAGATTAGATTTCAATAGTTATAAAATAGGGAAAGTTCTCGAAATAGGACTAAAACAGTTTGAAAATTCCAAAATAGGACTGTCATGTTTTTATTCCCAAAATAGGAGTAATTACTGTCAAGTTTGGAAAATACTGTCATGTTTGAAGTCTGGTACTGACAAAACATAACAGTCCTATTTTAGAATTTTCAAACATTTTTAGTCCTATTTCGGGCAAAGACGAGACATCTTCTAGACTAAATCTGACCATTTCAGTTCAGACCAAACCAAACTTAAACCGCCCAAATTAGACTAGACCAAAATAAAAAAATTATGTCCAAGTAAAAACATCCTTGTGGAGTTCTTCTTTAATGTTCAAGTGTGGCTGGCTTTTCTGCTATCAAAGTGTGGCTCTTCGCACAACAACGCGACACAATAATCACAATAGTGGCTACTGGCTAGGCAGTCCGGGTTAGAGGTATACGATAGACAATTTGGCCTGGACAATGATGATGATGAAGAATTGATGAATTGATGATGGAGATCTTCAACGTTGACAAGTGGGTAAAGAGGTGAATGAAGGAAGTGTGTTGGAGATGGAATCAATACACAAAATGGGATTGGTGGCAGGTTTGGGCCTCTAGGCCCTCTTAGGCAGGGGCGGAACCAGGGGGAGCGAGCCGGTGCCGGCGCCACCCCTTCGCCGGAGTTTTTTTAGGAGTAGTATTAGGTTTATCGGCCGGCGCCCCTTCATCTTCTTCCCATAGAGCTTCCATGCGCGGATGCGCCCCTGCCGCTGCTATGGTGAGATTCAGCGAAGCAGAAGACCTAAGAAAGGATGGTGCAGCCTGTTTTTTTTTTTAATTTAATCAATAAACCAAACGACGTCGTTTGGTTAAGTGCACAGAAACAATTGAAACGACGTCGTTTTCTCCACAGTTCTAAATTTATCCAATTCGCGTTTCTCTTGGCCTTTTCGTTTCCCCAATTCGCGTTCCACAAGGCCCGTTTCACTTGGGCCGTTCTAGTCTTGAGAGCTGAACACAGTGGGAAGAATTTCCGCTTTCGTCCTGACTCCAGAGTTCCGCAAACCGGCAGACCGCCTTCGTGGCTCGTTGCAGACTTCCAGTTTGAGACTTAGAACTTCCGCCTTGGTTCACAGGTTCGCAAACGGCAGTTAACTTTTAGAGTTTTTTACTCCAGGTTGAAACTTGGAACATCGACCTCGTGTTTCTCCAGACATCCGAAGTAAGGCCAATTTCTTGGGCTAGTTTGGTAAGTAATTTTATAATTGAAATATGTTTTAATTACTTTTATTGGTTATATGCTTTAATTAATTATTTAATTTGAAATTGGATTGATTAATTGCTTTATGGTTTGATTTATTTGCAAGCGTATAAGCTTATTGATTCATCAGTTTAATTTCTTTTTTAGTGTAATTGATTAAGTGCTTGAATTGGTATAACCGTATAAAGTTGAAATTGATTGTGCAATTTTTTTATTATTTAGTTTGGTTGGTTTAGATGTTTTAAATTTTAATTCATTATAACTATTTAAGAATTTGCAATTGGGAACTTTTTTGACTTGTTAGGTTACTCATGCCATCATGTTTTTAACTATATAATGTACTCTTCTTACAAATTTCGTTCTGGTTCCGCCACCCCTTTGATTTCGTTCTGGTTCCGCCACTGCTCTTAGGAGCTACACGATTCATATTTTTAATTACAATTTTCACTTGTGTTTTTTATTCCTATTTATAGAGAGATTCAAAGTTGTGTTTTCTTTGCTAGATTATTTTTTAATTTCGGATTTCACTTTGATTTCATGTTTAGAGTTGTTTTGAGGGGCACGTTTATCCATTTGAGTGATTAGCGAATTATAGGTTTTGTTGGGATATTGGGTCCAGGGCCAATACCACATGGCCCAAATCCAGAAAGAAGTAGTAGGCCTAAAGCAGCCCAAGAATTCCCGATCAGCGTTCGGGGCAAAGCTTCTACTTGGAACATTTTAGGGAACAATTGCGCCAAAGCACCAATGGCTGGTGATGGATAATCCACCCGGGGGGTATCTTATCCGAGGGGTTATTGCGGGAATAACTTAGAGAGAAGTCAGAGCAAATAGGAGGAGAGAGAGTCAATTTATTAAATGAACTCGAGATATGGAGTTAGGATGTAGCTGTTGTTTATTACAAGGAGAAATGGGCTGCTACTTATAGCAGCAATAAATGCGATGGGAGTACACGTGTCAGTAATCCAACGGCCGAAGGGTCACATCAGCCGGTTGGTACCGGCAGTGGTACGTCCACCGCATTGAATGCGGTTGGCGGACGTGACGTGGCATTAAATGCGGTGGTTGGCTGTCCCTAAAAGGAATCTTCGATGATTGAGTGTGCTTGGCCGAGGGCTCCTTGTGTTGCCGAGGGCTCCATGTAGCCAAGGATCCCTGTGTAGCCGAAGGCCCTGTGTGACCGGAGGCATGGTTTAGCCGGGGGCTTCTCTGATGCCGAGGGCTTCGATAATGCCGAAGGCTCATGTTTTTCGCCGTTTTCTCCCAGTAGCCTCTTATGCCCGAGAAGGCTATCCTGTGAGGTTTGGAGCCTTCGGCCAAAGGAGGCCGAAGGCACCCCCGTGCGTATTCTGGGCTATGTTGAGGCTTGGGCCGCTGCATTTTGGGCCTCCTGAGCTCCTTGGGCTTGTGACAGATTAGTAGGAGTCTTTGGGCCGGGGGTTCCTGGGCCATATACTCCATCAGGAGTCCCTCACTCCTTTTGCCGAAAGGTACTTGAGGGGAAAGGAGTAGAAGCGTTGATTCTTCCGGAGGCTTCATCGTCTGTTTGGGTGCCTTTGTTTGAGAATTTGCCTTCTGCTGATTGCCGAGGGCTTCCCTCAGTCCCTCACATGTCGAGGGTTTTCTGAGGGAAGTATAACACCTGTATAACTGCCGAAGGCTTTCCTCAGTCCCTCACATGTCGAGGGTTTCCTGAGGAAAGCATAGATGTATTGCCTGCATGTGTTTTGATGAGGGCTGCATTTTGATACTCTGCCTTTGCCGAAGGGTGTGTTGAAGTATGTACCCGAAAGTTTCTGCTTTGATGTTCACCCGGGGGCTACATGCGTCAATTGTAAATCTTTGCATGAGGAACTTTTGTCCTGTATGATTCCCGAGGGGTGTATCCCAGTCCCCTACTCCTTTAGGCCGAAGGCTAGTTCGAGCTGAAGGAGTTATGATGTGTTTTGCAATATTAACGAGGGGTGTGTGATTCCCGAGGGTTGACAATATTGACAAGTCGGGGGCTTATGCTGCCGCAGGCTCGAAGGCGTTTGGTGGAATTCGTTGTCTGAAGGATGTGGTGAGTGATAGCCGGAGGCTATCATTCGAGGGCACCCCAGTGTTGCCGAAATATAGTCGTTGTAATATAGCCGTTGGAGGAGGGGTTGACGTGGCTTGTCCTCATTGGCTGACGGGGGGCGGGTGCCACCCATTGGCTAAGGTGGCGGCCCGTAATGATGGGCTTTTCAAATCGAGGCCCAGTTTCCGAGGCCCAGTCGCCTATAAATACCCCAAGGCCAGACCTCCTTCCTTTGTGCATTCTTGAGATCATAGCGGAGCTCTGGCAATTTGACTTCTAGAGAGAGAAAGTTCCCTTCGACTAAGTCTAGTATTCCGAGGTCAGTCCCTCTTCTGCCCCTTTCTCTCCTAGCTTTAGCGTTAGAGTGTCTTAGGGAGCCCTCAGTCTCTTTCATTTCTCCTGCTTCTATCTTCTGAACACCTAAGGATGTCGTCGGCAAGCGACTCCCAAGACATTTCCGTGGAGGCCCCGGTCCAGTCGGAGAGCTACTCTGAGGTGGAGTCCTCAAGCGAGCAACCCTCAGTTGGGAATGATGCCGCCGTAGCTGAGGAAATCCAAGCCACCCTCCGGACGGAACTAGAAGCTGAAGAGTTCGAGCAGGTGGTGGAGGACGAGGAGATGGCCCTCGCAGTTCAAATCGCTGAGGAGGAGGAGGAAAAAGAGCGGCAGAAGGTGACGGTTGCAGTGCTGCCTTCCCGCGGCGCCGGTGAAGCAAGTAGTTCCCGGCCCCTAGATCCGGAGCCTTTGAGTGTTGTCCCTGCCAAGAAGAAGAAGAAACTGAGGGCTGCTCCAAAGAAGAAGCAGGCGGCCGTGGATGCCGGGCAACCAGTTGGGATCCCTGAGGGGCACTCGTATTTGGACACTACCGCCCTTGAGGTGAAGACCACGGCGTCGGGGGCCGAATGCCTAGCCCTCCAAGTCCTTGTGGGACCGTCGGCACAAGTAGTGGAACCGGGACCCAATGACCTGCTATCTCATCCTCCTGAGGGATGTTTCTCGGTACACATGCTGTCGGTGGAGCTAGGGCTCAGATTCCCCCTCCACCCCCTCGTTGTTGAGTACCTGCGATTTGTGAAGTTAGCCCCCTGCCAACTTACGCCGAACAGTCACTACTATCTGGCGGGGGTTC